ACAGATTTTATTTGTTAACCGAAGAAAATGTCCTTTTTGGCAGATTATGATGTAATAATTTCTGTCGTAATTTAAATTGTAATAATTTTTTGCATATTTAGAGAACAGAAAATTTTTGTAGAAAAGTTAGAGAGTTATTATTTTCAATAGAAATTTCTTTTCAGTGTAATAATTCATTTCTGTGTTTTTTACCACACCTTTTTCATCATTCCTGTGTTTCCATCATCTGTTTCCCACCTTACCTGAGATTTTCATCATGTGTTTTTCATCATTTTTTTTCTTTTTTTAACTAAAATTATTTTGAACTTTTGATTGCCTGATGTGAAACATTGTGATCGTGTAAACTTTCAACAATATCTGCCAGAATAGCTAAGGAGACCAGTTACCTGCTCTTCGATGTGTAAACTTATACGGTGTACTTTATAAATCAATAAAGAATTTAATTGACTAGTTATTCATTTCTGTGTTTATTATTTTCTGTTTTTCATTTTTTTTAAATTTAAAAATTATGTGTGAAGTGAATATTTTGAACTTGTAAAATTTTATTTTGGAACCTAAAGAAGGTATGATTCTTTTAGGGCTAAGTATCAATTAAAAAGCAAATATAGATAGATAAAACGTTGATTTAAATCTAGCGGGAAACTGAATATTATTTTTAACATATATAACAAATAAGTCATGCAGTATAACTAACATGTTATAGCAAAAAACTGCTATATTAAAAGAAATCGCTACCCGTAAGTAATTCTTTAAATAATGTTAAAATATTATACATTATGCCTAATGAAAAACGTAAGTAAATTTGGCTTTATTCAAATCGCAGCAAGAATAATACCCCAAAAAGTAATACATTCTAGTAATGAAAAATCAGCATATTTCGCTGATAAATAAAAAATTCAAACAAGTCGACATAAAATAATATTTTTTTCTATTTTCAGAAAAACAATCAGGATATTTTATTTTACTACATAAAAACCAAATTTTAATCAGTTTGGCAGAACTAATATGATGTCTTCAGGAAATAATTCAAAGGATTTTAAATAAAAAAAGTTACTCAAACAATTACGTATAATTGAAAAATGTTTTCTACTTCCAGGAAAGTATTCAATAAATTTAATTTATTTCTGAATTTAAAAATGTAACCAAAAATATAGGTTTATTACTATAGCGAAATTTTCGTTCGATTTAATCTTTAGGTTCTATACATTTAAACATCAAATATGTTTTAACTTCATTTACCATATACTTTTGAAAAAAAAAAGAGTGGTGAAAGATGGTTTAAGAAACTATTCCATATTAATAAAATTTCGAACCCAATTTTAGTCTTGTTCCCGTCTTTTTATTGTAAGTCGCTGTGTCCCAAAAATTAACCAACGATAGATGTTTTACTGCGCTCCAGATAAAAAAAAAAATTAAAAATTCATAATACAACTTGTTAAAGCTAGTTTCAAAGTGTACCAGCAGATGACGCACCTAACTAAGTAAAATTATGACAGAATGTTTTTGTCAAACAACCATCATATGCAGCAGCAACAGGGTGCAATCTTAGGAAACAATTGAAAGACGCACGTGCAAACATTTCAATCCTGAAGTGATTGTACCTAATAATGTGATTTAAATTATATTTAATTGGATACCTGTGAAGGACGTCAAGCGTGTGCCGAACTTGATTGGCTTCGGAATCGGCAAATGACACATTTACCAACAATGACGTCACTTTCAGGGATCCGATAGGAATGCAGTAAACACTGTTTCACGGTTTTATAAGTCAAGTCAGTGGAGTCATCTGTTGATGCTTTATGTTTCTAATTTTGAAACTTGATCGAAATAAATAACCACATTTCGTACGCAGAACGCAAAAGCCGTTCATTTCTAGCGACCCTTCTATTTTTCTTTAATTGATTTTTCAAACTGTCGAGCATTTTTGGCATACCTTGTCGTTTTTATAACTAAAAAGAGAAAAAAGATATGAATTAAAATTTGAATAATAAAATAGAAAAAACAAAAACAAAATTGAAATATTTCGGTCGAACATTTTAAAGTACTTAACGATACCACATTTACAAATAGCTTGAAAACGTTCCACACTGATTTTATTTCAGGAAAACTATTTCCACATTGCAAAAATACTTGGTGTAGTTGCCACCATTTTTGGCATTGAGGTAAACTAAAATTTTTACAGTTAAAAATTATTATTTACTTTTTCACTGTTACAGTTTTATTTATTTATTTATTTTCTACTTTTTTGTATATTGACAACGCATATTTCCACTCTCATTTAGAATCAATTTAATTGCTTCAATGCAAAAACATTTCATTTAAAAAACAAGGACATTTTTATTAATATACTCGCTCTGATTCTTTCAAATATTTATTATTTTGCCAATTTTATATTAAATTTTTTTGCACGATAACTACTTAAAAATGCATTCAGTACTCAAAAATGCATTCAGTACTCAAAAATGCATTTGTAATTATAACATAAAACTGCGACAAATTCATTATCAAACATAAAATAATTACAACCACATTTTAAAATAGAACTGTAGTTATCGTACTAATGGCAGAATTATAATTGCTAAAAGGAATTAGTGTGAATATAATACTAATAATGTGATTTTTTTAAACGAAATGTTTTTGCAATGAGGGCATAAAATTAATTCGAATGCGTATGAAAATATGTGTGGTCAGTAAATGAACAAACAAAAATGAATAAATAAATAACTCTATAACAGTGAAAAAGTAAATAAAAAACGAGACTAAATGCACTGGAAAATTTTATTAGTTTACCTCAGCACCGGGAAGGGAAACAACTACACACCAAAACTTTTTACAATATATTCGAAACAAATTTAAAATATTTGGCTTCTGAAAATGCAAACGTATGTTTTCAAAATGCAAAAATCGTTTTAAATTAAACAAAGAAGCTACAAAGAAAGATTTTCTGAATTACTTATAAATGAGAAAGGCGCAGTCACAGAAATAATGATTTGCGTGTAAAGGCTTGATGGTTATTATTTATCCCTTAGTTGAATAAGAGGTCAATTATTTGGAAGCATTTAGGAACAAATTAGGATAAAATAAACAAGCATTATCGAATATCGCTTAAAATAATTGCACAAACGTAATAAAATCTTTTGAAATGATATAAAAATGTATTAAGCAAATACATTCTCTTTTTTTCACGCTTATGCATGGAATAGTTTGTATTCTTTTCATGGCTGAGATTGATTTGTTATTATTAGTTAAGAAGAACGCTTAAAAAAATTACAGCAACTGTTTGCGAAGTAGTTACATAATTTTGGGTAATTTAGCAATGAACATAAAGGCAGATTTCGTGGAAGGAATTGTATTTGCTCAATACAATTCTTCGCTTGAAGAATGAATAATTTTGTTCCTTTCTGTGTTTATTTCCTTTTTTTCTTAAAGATATGCAACAATGTTTCATGATTTGATAAAGATAATAGCACTGGAAAAGATTTTCGAACCATGTTTAGCGCTCGCAGTTTTCATGATTAGCAAACAATCCACTTATAAAGCTGTTACGAAAATTACCTACAAACAGAGCTTAGCTTTATTACCTTCGATGCGTAGTTTGCACGAGTTATTCAGTTTTATTGTAACAACTTCCAATTTGAGGAACGTTTTGCATTATTTTCACTATAAAAATGACTATGTTTAAGTATTATTGCGCATTTTATATTCCCACCACTACAAGCTTTCTTCTCGCGTTAAGATATGTCTTATTATAAATGAATCTGCGAATATTAAACTGGAACTTTTGAGATACTTAAGGATTTTAGACAAGTTACTTGCATTGAAAATTAAAAAAAAAAAATGATTTCAACAATGGTTAAGTAATTTCCTTCTCATTTCGAAGATTCTGTCACTTCCAGACGACGGCATAATGGACTAATGCAATTCCTTCTAATGGATGTCTTTCCTAGAAATAGTTGAAGTTTAATTGATCTCTTTTCAAGAAATAGTTGATGCAGTTCTACTTCTTAACCAACAGTTTTGAATGTCGTATAGATCTAGGAGAAATTACTCATCTTCAATCTCGACACTTGTAATCTATCATGTGAGTGAAGACATAAGAATAGTTTAAAAAATGATTAAGATTTCCTTTACATGTCAATGTTTCTACGTCACTTAGATGGTCTAAGTTAAAATTTAGAATGATGAAACTCTTCCTACAGTTGCCAATGATTTCATTTAAGTTATGTTTTTTAAAGTTCTTCTTGAATCTTGGGCAAGTGATTGGACAGTTCACCTAACTGTGATGGTTCACCTTAAATTATTTTCAATTATTGAAGCAAAAACAACTTCCTTCCTGCTACAGCTTTAAATTTTTTTTCTCACATTTAAGTGACTCGTATTATCTTTTAGTGTGCCGAAACTTAAAGGAAATTTCTAAATGTTAAAACTTTTTTTACCAAACACAGATGATCTCATTTAAGTTATGGCTTTCAAGTCTCCTTCAAAATTTGGTTAAGTTAATTTTACATCAGTTTTAATGTTGATGGTCTACGGTAAATAATTTTCTACTTTTGAAAACTCCTGAATTTGTTCCAAGATGTCTTTCACGAGTTATTTTCCTCTACGGAATCACTTAAAAGAAGAGTCAAGCGACGATTGCATTTAAATAAATATTTTTCAGATCATGGATATGTTATGGAACTTCATTCTGAGCTCTGTCAACATACCGTCCGAACATACGGAAAATAATTCCCAAGTTTTGATGCACAAACAATATTTTCTCCTACCATAGCTACAATGTTTCCTTTTCATATGAAAGTGTCTAATATTTCTTTCGTTTGACTTCATTTAAAAATGAAAATGGCGAAACTCTTTTTTTTCCAACCACCATTGATTCCATTTAAGTTCAGGCTTTCATCTTTCTTTCTGATCTTGAACAAGTCATTCAACTTCACAGTTCACACTTACAGCTCACTTTAAGCAATCTTCTACTTTTATCGTAAAAACATTTTTTACCTGCTATGGATGCGAACTTTCCTTCTCACATCAGAGTGTCTGTTATTCCACTCCAGAGTGTAGTAAATTTAACGAAAGGTCCAAATGGCGAAACTCTTCTGTTAGGAGCAGATGGCCGACTTCTTAACATTTTATCTCAGTATTTGAAGTTCAATTACTCTGTACTCATTCCACCAGACAGGGAATGGGGGAGACAACTAGCAGATGGAAACTTCACTGGCATGGTAGGACAAGTATTTCGTGGAGAGGCAGATTTTACCATGAGTTGGACCTCTAACACCAAAGAACGTGCAAAGGGAGTTGATTTCAGTGAATCATATGCGCTGAACGAACTGACGTATGTTACTAACATGCCAGGATATTTACCCAAAGCATATGTATTTACCTATCCCTTCGACTACTTATCTTGGATAAGTATTGTTCTCGTCGTATTAGTAGTCTCATTATTGTTTCGGCTACTCATGCCAAATGGTCCTTCGTATGTCGAAAGACTGCTTTACATTTTTGGTACAATCACGCATCAGGCATTAAACAATGAAAAATATTATCGTAGAATACTGCTCTTCTTTTGGTGGATATCATCAACTGTGTTGTCAGTAAGCTACACGGGGGCTCTTTCTTCTTTTCTTAGTGTACCCATACGGGAAGCTCCTATGAAGGATTTCAAGCAACTGTCGATAGCGACCTCTGGTGGACAATACAGATGCCTAGATGTGAAAGGATCTGTTTTTCTTCCATCGTTTTTAGACAGTGGTAAAGAAGATCTCGTCCGACTAGGGAAGAATATAATTAAGTACAACTGGTTCAATACGTTTGCTGAATCTCAGACCGAAGATTATTTTGATGGAAAATCTGCCCATTTGGGTTCTAGACTTTTCCTGTACCTGAGGTTTGGAAAACCTCCTTTTAACAGAAGGTACGTGTCTGACGACACCGCCTCCACGTCACCGATTGCGTTTGGTGTCAGGAAAGATTTTTGTTGCAAGGAAACGATTAATTTAATGCTAAAAAGAATTAAACATGGTGGAATTTATCAGAAAATATTGGATGAAGAGATGTTTAAGCGTTGGCTTAAATACATAGGGACTCTTGTGCCAATAGAACATGACATACCGATTTCTATTCAAGATATATATGGGGCTTTCTTGATACTTGCGATTGGAAATGGTTTATCTATCGTTATCTTTGTTATTGAGTGTTGTTGGAAAAGAAGATTAACTAAATAATAGCGTTTCATGAGATTGTCTTGATAGTGGTGTAAGGTTGATTTTAATGCCAACAACGAACTTTATTACAAAGACTTGTGATGCTTATTAAATGGTTTATAAGTAAAAGCTTGAAGCAATCTTAAAAGTAACTATGCTAGTTTACGTGATATGAGCTCGCACTAAGCTTGTATAGACAATTATTTTATATCGAGATTGAATCTGCCTTTGCAAAACAAGTATAAAAAAACCTTTTAAAATCTAGGATGAAACATCCTTTGCAAATCAAGAGTAGAAAACGCTCTCAAACCATGGATAAATTCACTTTCTGTAGGTTTATTTTAGACTTTATGATCATCACTGAAATAAGGTTTATTCGCACAGGCTCTTATATACTTTCTTCAACACTTTGTAATCGAATGTTGATCTAATCATTAAGTTTTCAACACAAACAAAATGTTGCATTCAATAGCTTGCACAAAGCTAGAATGAAAAAAGGCAAAAACAAGGTTTACAGTGAAAGCTAAAATATGAGATTTTTTGTAACCTTTTTTACGTGTCTTTTTTCAGTCTTTAAGGGAATAAGCTTAGCAAATTAATATTTCTACTAGCTATAAAAAGTATTAATTAGTGAGCCTTTCTATGCCAATCAAAATGAAATAGAATTACAGCATTTGCCTTTGTGTTTAAGGTTTTATAATTGTGTTATTTCCTATATGTTCTAACAATAGATATTTGTGAACTATTATTTGAAATGTATGCTAATTTTTGTTAACTTCTTTTGTAATTCATATATGAAGAAATGCATATTCGTTTAAACATAAATAGAAAACAATTGTGGTTTTATTGAAACATGAAATTGCCTTTAGAGTTAAATACTTGTAAAATATTTTTCAAAATTTTCATTAATACTGAAAACCCTTTTGTCAAACATCTATTAGAAAACGTAATTATTTTTAATTATGATAATTGAATATTTCTTTATAGTTAATATTTGTGAAAAATCATTTAAATTTTATATCAACTCTGACAACCTCGTTCTTCGTTCACCTAAGAGAAAATGTATTTCACGTTTAAGTAATAAAATTTAGTAATTATAGTTAGATGTAAATATTTGAAAAATAAAATTGAAACTTTGCATTATTTCTGACAACTCTGTTCTTTATCCATCAAAAAAATAAATGTATTTTTTAAGAAGCATCTAAGAAAGAAAGATATTATTCAAAACTCACATCAAATCCGTCAACTTCTTTAGTCATTTCTCAATGAAAAAACAAGCATTTGTTTGATTGTGATGGATTGTGTTTTATTTGGAAAATACTTTTTAAAACGTTTATTGATTTTGACTGCTCCTTTTAGCGATAAACTAAGAGAAAAATTGGTTGACATTAATTGCAAATATGTGATCTTTTATGAAATCGAATAAGTCTTTAAGGATAGTTGCTTATGAAGTAAAAATATGACACTAAAATTGACAACTTTTTTGTTAATCACCGTATTGCCTGCTTTCTTATATTAAACTACAATTTTATTTATGTACTTAATTTTTACAGAATATGAAAATGTTTTTAGATATTTAGATATTTCTGAAATACCATTCTATTTTAACTGTAGTTTTAATTTACGACAGATCGCCATTTCCCTTTATCTACGTCTTTGAGTTTAAGTGTGCATAATTATGTTATTTCAACTGTGTTCTAGCAAGAGATATCTGTAAATTATTATTTGAAATATATTTTGATTTTATCAACTGATTTGGTAATTCATTGAAGGAAAAATGCGTAAGCATTTTAAAATGAACGTAAAATAATTGTGGTTTTAATGAAACAAGAAATTACATTTAGAGGTGAAATATTTTTTAAATGTTACAGAAATATTTTTCTAAAGTTACATCAGTTCTGTAATCTCCGTTATACGAACATCTATGAAAAAACGTATTTATATAATTGTCGTAATTGAATATCTCATTTGAGTTTATATTTTTGAAACAGCATTTAAATTTTATCTTAACTTAGTGCTTTATTTATCTTCGAGATAAAGCATATCATGTTTAAATAATAAAATTTAGTATTTATTTTGATATAAATATTTGAGAAATATCATTTAAAGTTCTTTATTCATTTTAGGAAAAAATATGTATTCTAAAAAAGCAACTAAGAAAAAAGATATTGTTCAAAATCGACATCAAACTTATCAAATTTTTTAGTCATTCTTCCATGAAAAAACAAGCATGCGTTTGATTGTGATGGATTGTTTTCATTTAAAAAATACTATGCAAAACGTTTATTGATTTTGACCGCTCCTTTTAGAGAGCAGTTAAAAGAAAATGTGGTTGACATTAATTGCGACTGTGTGATATTTTTTTTAAAAATCAAATAAGTATTTAAAGACTCTAGCTTATGAAATAGTGACACTTATACTGACTACTTCTATTGTCAAACACCACAGTGCATGTGTTTTTATATTAAATGACTTTTTTTTAAAATGAATATGAGTAGGTTTTTAGTATTTAGATATTTCTGAAATATTATTCTATCTTAACTTTTGTAGTTGTTTTTTATCATTTGTTCCATTTTTAAATGTGTTCTAGCAATAATTTGTTCCTTTTTTAAATGTGCTTAAGGTTTACATGAATTCTTATAATTCTATTACCCATCAATGAGAAAACATATTTACGTTTAATTGGGATAATTGAATATTTCTTTAGAGATGAATAGTTAAGAAACATCATTTGAGTGTTACACTGATTTTGATAACTCTGTTCTTTATCCATCTAAGAAAAATGAATTTACGTTTTCGGTGTTTTGAAGAAAAAAAATCAGCAAATAACGTAAAATAAGTTACATTTTTGTAAATTACTCAAAAGCAGTCAATTAAATAAATGCCTACGAGCAACATAAAGCTACATTTACTGTGAACATTGCATCAAAATTGAAAGGAAATCGGTTTAAAATTGTACTAGTTGGGGATACAGCAAGTGAGAAAAAAATAGCATCGAGTGAATAAAGGTGATTCTTTGATGTAAGATGTCATGATATCAAGTTAATTACTTTTTAGTTAGGTGTTGCATCAAGGGTTCTGTATTTCCTCCTGCTTGACTATTCTTATTCAATCAACATCCACTCTTACAACATAAATGAGGGCGATTGTGCTTAGTGAAATAAGAAACGATTGGTTGTTTGCTTTTTTTTAGAACTTTAAAGTTCAAATCACAGCTTTACATTCTTTCTCTAAGTAGAATCATCTCGGGTGGGTGTTTTTAAAAATAGAGAGGGATAAAAATTTCATTACAATTTTGAGCAGCTTTAAAATGAAAACACTTGTTTCCCAATTTATTAAAAACCTTTTCAGGCACATAAGTAGGTGCATTATTTGCGCCAGAGCTGTACAATGGGCTGTTTTATTTTATTTTATAACTGGGACTCAATTTTGGGTTTACGGCTACTGATGTTCAACTCTGTAGTCTTTTAGTTTTGAACCCAATCCAGAAGACAAGGGAACTCCGGAATTTGGAGAAATTTGCCTTCGTGGAAGACCTCTTCATGGAAATAACCCTCATTTGCGTTACACGGAGAGAAAAATTACGAGAACATCATACGGTTAGCCCGACGGCAGGGGATTCTAACCCATGATCCATCTACCACTAATGATATTTTACGTCAGAACTGAAGTTGGTTCGAGCAGAGTTCGCAATTCGTATCGACCAGCCATCTCTGGGATTCGAACTTGGTTCGCCTCGTTGGAAGGTAAACACTTTATCCTCTGAGGCACTAGGGTCAAAAGGCTCAAGATGGCAATGGGCTATTGGCGATGGCCTGGGGAACATCCCTGAGGATGATCCGAAGACATGTCATCACAATTTTGAACCTCTTCGGAAGGGATGGCTCCTCCGATTTGGTAGTCCGCAGATGAAGTGAAGAAGTCGAAGTCGAGCACTTTACAGTCGAACAGTTTAACAAGGACCGATACCGTGCACCCTCAGTCCCTACGCGGGCTGATCAAAATCGTGACTCACCAGCAAGATGAATGCTTGACGTCGGTGTTCCACTGGGAATCGTGTCTTTACGATCAGTACATTGCTTCACATAATCCTTATTAAATTTTAAGAACTAAAAATCTATTCCCCACTTTCTATGAACACTGTAAAAATTCTGGATCAAATTACGGTAAAAAGTAGGGGAGAGTGGGGTCAATTGTAACAGGGTACGATTGTAACAGAGCAAAAATTTCGAGTGTCGGGTTCTAGATTTGGTTCCTAGGTGGCGCACAAGGTGTATTTAATAAATCTACATGTACACCCCTGCTGGCAACCATTTTTATGTACTTTTGAAAGAGTTACATCACAAAAGATATTTTCACGCTACGTAAGTACTTTTTTTGGTATTAGAATATTATATTGTAACAAAGTAATTTTGTTTAAACAAATAAAAATTAGTAACCGAATATGTAAGTGGACACTTTAATTAACATTTCAAAAAAAAAAAAGATTAGTTTTGCTAATTAACTAGCATTGTTTTTAACAAATGAAGCTGAAATGGCGTCTTGGGGACAATTGTAACAATAAGTAAAGGGACGATTGTAACAGCTGAAAATAAATAATCTTATGTTTACAAACCATTACTTAACTCTTTAAGAACCACCAATAGTTTCCTATATCATTTATATTATGTTGCATGTGCATTATTTTATTTGTCACCTTTCACAGCATAAATTAAAATTTTTAACCCCTTAAAGTTAAAAGTTTAACCCTTTAGGTCTCTGCTCATTATTATTTTTACTCCTAAAATATCACTACTATTTTGATCAATAAAAAAATATATCACAACTATGATAATATGTATAATTAACTATGTTTTAGTTGAATTTATGAACTGTTACAATTGACCCCGTAAGTGGGGACAATTGTAACAAGTGCACGACTGTCAAAAATTGTTAATAACTAATATAATAACATTTAAAATAAGGTATTTATTTTTTTTTCTAGTAGAGGATAGTCTACTTTACTCGTCTGTCGTACTTTC